ATGAAGGACTTTCAGACATGGGGGGTGGGGGCGCTGCTCGTGCCAGCTGGCAGACTGCCCGGGTGCTGTATTTCAATCCTACCCTTTGTCTGTCCGTCCACTGACACGCTGCCTTGAAAAACGCTTAGTCCCGCAGCCTTGTGGTGCGTTCATTGCTTTTCATTTTCCTCTGACGTGGAGCTTTGAAGTTGCTCTCCTGGTCTCTCGGGGCTCCATTACCTCACTGGTCGTGCGCTGCGGCCTACAGCGGCCTCTTCCTTGCGGTCAGGACAGGCGCGCTTTGCTGGTTTTTCAGAACGCGGGCCTCTGTTCCGTTTGCGTAGCCTCCCTCGGGGACTCTCTGTGCGATGAGCTCGGTGTCCAGCCGGGACTCGACTGTCCCTCCCCCCCCCTTGTAGCTGGTGACGCAGCCCAGACGGGAACTGGTGACTTCTGGGATACAGGGCTGTATCTGCGCTCCCAGGAGGGGGAGCCGCTGGGGAGTCCTTGCTCTGCATTGGTGTGCACTTTCCCTTCCTCTTCTTCTGCAGGGACGTGCTCTGGTTGCAGGCAGAGTCTTTGAGACAATCTGAAACTGCATGCCTTGCGAAACTAAACTGCCTGACTGAGGCGATTCTTCCAGAGTGAGGCAGTAAGCAAGTTGGGGAGGGTCAAGGGACTACAGGACTCCACTGCGGTCTTCTCCCTTGCAGAGTTTTGAGATGATCAGCCTCTTGGTTACTGTTGCTCGGTGTAGGGGTCAAAGGTGTGGTTGTGCGAAAGACCTGGAGTGGATTGGAAACTGCAACACTGACCTACACTGCTGAGCTCCTGGTAGGAAATACAGCTGGGCTCCCACCAGGCAGAGAGTGTGGTCAGTCAGCAACACCAGCACCACACAATCCCTGTGCTGGCAGCCACTGACGCCAGCCCTGGTGCCCTGGGGTACCTGGATTCAGGCCGGGGCAGCTGATGTGCCCATTGGGGGGGTTGTGTGAGGGAGACAGCTGCACTGCACCTGGCCTGTGGTTTGGACTGTGCGGAGGGCCACAAGAGAGAAGCAGGCCCTTCACCCCTGTGGTTGATTTGGCTGCTGGGAGCTTCTTGACCCACGAATCTCATCCTGCCTTTTCTCAGTCTCCCAGGACCCACGACCCGGCTCTTGCAAAGCTCCCACCACCCTCTGCGTAAAGTAACGCCCTTAATATCCTGTGAGTGTCCTCAGGTCACTATTCGGCCATTGGCCTTCCGGGCGGCCTGGACCCTTAACCTTTCAGGATTGTGAATATTTGCACGAGGTTTTGAACACAGACATGAGATGGGAGATGACGATCAGACATTTTCCACGGCTTCTTGCGCTGTAGAGTCAACGAAGGACTTTGATCCATTTTAGCGGCTCGGCCACCGTCCGCTGGCCTCGGTGCCGAGCGAGAGGTCGGCCTCCTGGCCAGGCAGCAGGGCGGCGGGCTCGCCGTGATCCGTGTGGGCGGTGCCCGGTTTGCTCTTCTTCGGGCGAGAAGGAGGAGGAGGAGGAGGAGGGAGAAGGCGAGATGGACAGGGTGCAAGATCGCCGCCTTCAGCGTCTCCCCCAGTCACAGAGCTGGGATTCGGATGCAGGAAGGAGGTCCCGCTGCAGCCCCAGCAAGGGAGAATTTATAGGCAATTTGTAACCATTGTAAACAGGACGCATTCCTTTTTTAATTCTGGCCATCTGGAGCGCTCGGCGCTTCCAGGGCTGTTTCTTGTAGGTCTGGCTTGGCAGCCGTTGCAGTTTTTGAAAGCCGGGACCTGATTTGACAGTTCCTATTGTAATTTGGCCGAAACTCACAGAGAGAAATCTGGGTCTCTTTCCTGCTTGAAAGAAATGTTTTGCTTTGTTTCTTTTCATGCGCTTGGTTTTTCTCCTGGGCAGAGAGCGCTGAAAGCCGAAATCCTGTGTCTGGCCATGCACGTGCTATGGCACTGTTCAGCACCGACGCAGCCCGGCTCGCAGGTGTTGTCATCCCCAAGGGGCTTGAGCAGGCGAGGAGAGTCCATAGGCGCTGCCACGGGCACGTCGCTGGTTGGGCCTCGGTTTAATGTCGCCACCAAAGGTCGGAGCACGAGGGGGCGCAGGGAAAGGCTCAGCGAGTCGGAGGCATAGCTGGGGTTTGAACCGGGAACCTCTAACCTTCCACAATTGGAGCTCCTGGCCTGCTCCTGTCACAGAGCAGCTGACCCTCCCCATCCCCCAAAGGAAACACTCGGGCGCGTGAGGACCCGGACGCTCGATCTCCACACCCCTCGATTATTGTTCATCCCTGCGAGCTGCTACAGCCACTGCATCAACTTGCTTCTCTGTACGTGTGCTGATTGGTTTAAACCTCCTGCCCCGGCTACAGGGACATGAGCGCGTGCTTGGCGCAGGGGCGTGTCCTCAGGCTGGCCAGGCGATTGGTCCATTAGCTGTCACTCAAAGCTGCTAGAGGCGGGACCTCCTCTAGCACTCCATGCTGTGAGAGTGTGGGCAGTGGCCCTGCGGAGATATCCCGAAGAGCTGGTCAGGTCTTGATCGTGCCTCCAGTGTGACGTGTCCCCTGAGAGGCACTGTGGGACTTCCCACATGACCACAGGGGGCGAGTCTGATCTCTGCACCCTCTCCTGCTGGAATTCCCCATTCAGGGCCCTGGCTGTGATCCACTCCCTCTCCTCTGTCACATCTCCCTCATTCCCTCCCTCCCTGGACGCGGCAACGCCGGCGCGAGGTTACGGCTACCGCTCCCTGAGGAAGTGGCTGACCTGCACCCATGCTGAGCCAGTGACCCCCCCCCCTCTCGGATGACCCCCAAGCGTGAATCATCTGTGCTCTGCAGTTTTGCTTCCTCTTCCTGGGCTCTGTGGGAACCTGTTCTTTGCCAAGTGGAAGCCAAGCCGTCACCGGGCCTGGCCCTGCTGGGTCAACGCCACCTCTCCCCGGTGCCCAGTTCTTCCCAGAGATAAAACACCATCCCAGCACTGCTTCTGTCTTCAGGTGCGGATTGGATAATACACACTGTCCCAGTCCCAGTCACCTAAAACCACCATCGCAGTTCTCCGACTGATCACACTGAAGACGACAGCCAGGAAGGTCTCCTTTGAGCTGTGGTTGTGTGAATTACTGTTATGAAATAAAGTTGCTGGAGTGCGTTTTCTCGAAAGGAGGCCTAAAGAGGCTGCTCTGTAGGTGAGGTCAGAAATGTTTCCAAAGCTACAGCCAGATGTTTTTCCTTTTTTGAAAGATAGAGAGGAACATTTGCCTCTTCCTCAAACCATTACAAAGATATATTCCCCTCCATATTAGATTAATCTTGCTTATCTGATTAAAATGGTTTTACATTTAACCCAGGGGGTTAAATCTTCACCCTGGCCTCTTCAACCTCCATTTCGAAACGCTGGAAATATACCTGGGAGTTCTTGCTGTTGGCTAGTCCAGACCCTGGAGTCATGTTCAGCACTGCCTGTGGTTTCACCTGCCTCATTGTGAAAGATCCTGCGCCTCATGTCCGCTGGGTGCTGCAAGTCAAGTGGGGTCCTGCGACACTGAGGGGATTCCTGGGGGGTTCACTGCAGCATTTCTGGGGGGATTCCCAGCAACTTTTTCACCATTCCTGCAGTTATCAGTTTTGCTTTCGGTTGCTAAAATAAACGCCTGGCTTCCTGTAAATCTGTGGTCTGTATCTATTTTCCAGAATCAAAACTTCGCAGAGACGTATTTTCACACAGTTATCTGTTCTGGAACAGGGTGACCTCATGCTCTGTAGCCATGCATCCTAACCTTTTGAAATGTGAACAACGGTCCTCAGACAGGCAGCAACACAGCCGATACAGAGCGATTGTGACCTCATGTTATCTCTTCCTTGAGAACAGTGACAATCAAGAGGAGCATTTCAGCACATCTTGCCCGTTTGGTGGTTAGTCACTGATTGATCCAGGGTCACCTCTAGCAGTTTCTTAAAAGAAACCAGTGCATCAGCTTCAACATGAGAGGGTAGCTTGTTCCAGACTCCCACAACCCTTTGTGTAAAGAAGTGCCTCCTCTTCTCAGTTATAAGCGCACCTCTCTGTAGTTTCCTCTTGCGTCCTCTGGTGTGTGTTTCACTGGACATTTGGAAGAAATCCGCTGGATTGACTGAGAATTTTGAGTATTTTCACTATCAGGTCCCCTCGTAGTCTTATCTGTTCATGACCTGAAGGGCTTCACCCTGTCAGCCTGTTCCTTCAGCTTGTCAGGGTAAGACATTCCCTGAAGCTCCAGAATGAATCCAGTTGCTCCTCTCTGGGAAGAGAAACGATCCCTCTGGACAGCGTCAGAATGTCCATCACCCACACACCCAGGTGTAGCCCCTCGGGGGCGACAGTAGCAACACCAGACCTGAGGAACTGTTGATTCTCATCTCTGCTGGTTAGCTCAAGACGTGCTTGATCAAAGGAAACTCATTGGCAGTTGGAAGATTTTTCTAAGGACAAAGGGCCAATACTCTTGCTTGGGGACAGAAGTTGCATGCCTGCTGCTAACAAACAGGAAGATGTGCGAAACGCTCCGCTCCGGCAGCACGAGCAGGTGCTCAGAGTTTCCTCTCCTCCCCACTGTTCTCGCCTCGGGGATTCTGGGATTCCGGCTGATGTTTTCTGGCACTTTCCTCGCTGGGCGTGGTGGCTGGCTGTCCTGCTCCAGGATGCCTGTTTCCACTGCGGTCGCTAGGGGCACAGAGCCGCGAGGAAAACCAAATGCCATTTTTGCACTAAAATCAGTTTAGACCATTTTGTGTCATTAAGCTCTCTCTTTCCCTGGGTAGCAGAACGAGAGAGGAAAGTTTGGGTAAAACCAGAAGTTAAAAAATAAGGGCATCCCCTGCCCATCCAAAAAGCCAAATCTGTTTTATAATAGAGAAGCTAGTCAGAAAACTGGACCTCACCCTGCATCAGAGGAAAAAAAAAGTTCCTTAGATACCCTCGCGTGTATACTAGCGATACAGTCAAAGCCGTCAAAACATGCAGATGTTATGAAACGGAAGAGCTGGTGAGCTAAAAAAAAAAATCTGAAGCCGCAGAGATGGAATGATCTCATGCAGCTCAGGCCAGGAAGCCATCAGCC